CGGGGCGGGCGTACAGTTCTAAAAGCCCAACGAGTAAGGGGCGTGCGAGTGACGCCGTCGTGGCCGCGGCCCCGGCGCACGCACTCGCCTCGCCCCGCACTGCAGCGCGCATCAGGCCGCGGAGTCGTGCACCACACCGCGGCGAGGACGCCGCCGTCGGGAGTTTGCAAAGTGAAAATAGTGCTGCTGATCGCGCCGCGAGCGGGGGCCATATAGGGGTCATAAGGGGCCGTATAGTAGAGAGTCCCGATATGGACGGGCCGGGAGGGGTTCGGTCACTTCCGCGAGAGGCGCGTATAGCAGTAGCGTGGCGCACCACGCCGGGGAGCCTCCCTCGGCGCGGCCTCCGCGGACAACGACCCGGTCAGCGTGCGGGTACGTCGCGAGCGTCGCGGCCCAGCCCGGCCCGGCTCGGGGGTGGCCTTCATAAACAGTCGTTCGCACACAGCCCCCAAACATCGATCGAGTTGCAGACACGACGGGGCGGTGTAGACTACTGCGTACACCAAGAAAAATCAAAAGCTGTAGCAACCATTGTATATGGTTAGCTCAGCAGTGACAGTGACTACCATAAACTCTGGTTGATGCAACATTCACATGTGCTTGGCTCAGATATTTAAGACAATTACCAGCATATCGGGTAAGAAAATGCTGATAATTGTCTCAACCATTTGAGCCAACCATATGATGTTTTGCCATAGTCGGACTTTTTGCTGTTTGTTGCTTGTGTGGTAGGGGGTTCTTCAAGAAGGTATACAGTATTTTTTCGGCCTCTTGTCTCCGCAGAAAATGTGAAACACGCTGCAGGAGGCGGCCGCGAGGTCCCCTGAGCACGATCCACCTTTACGCCCTTCTCGCCCCCGCCGACCTCCCGCCCCCCCTCGCCTCGGTTACCTGCCCGCCCGCCGCCCGGCACAGCGTCGCCATCCGCAAGGACCGATGAATTAGTTATAAGCGACCAGTCAGACCGGTGTGTGTGAGTGTGGAGGGCAAGGGAACGGGGCCCCGAATGGGGAAGGGGAGAGGGGGGAGGGGCTGCATTCACGTGCTGCATCGGTGAAGCCACGCACGCCTCCAACCCAGGCGAGCACCAGTTAGGGCCAGCGGGGTGCGGGGTCCCTGGCACTCCACGAGTGCTGCTCACGGACACACACGGAGACACACGAACGAACGGACGGACAGACTGACGGACGGACAGTAAGACAGACAGACAAAGGGTAACCGATGTCAGGAGGCCGCGGCCGACTGTGGTTAGCTAGAAGAAGAGAAATAGCAGGTAGAACGTAAAAGTTCAAAGATTTACGTCCAAAGGAAATTTGTTTACAAGTGCTTCGGGACAAATCG